TGTATAATCCCCTGAAAATGAGAATCATGCCACTGTAGGAAGCGGAGAATGAAGCGAATTAAATTCACTGCTAGATGCAGCTAAAATCTATACATTGGACCTTTTAAAAGATAGTGCATGTACAATTCTCTGTTTTCTTAATTTGTCAACATAGACAAAAAACTCAATAAATTGATTATATTGGCAGGTATTGTCTCTGTAGCCAAAGCCTGATATAACCTAGCTCTAGCTTCATTGACAGAGGGGATGCCAATGTGGAGGGCCCTGACAAAAAAACGCCAGCAAAGGTTGAACCTGGCTTAACTTTTGCTTTGCAGTTTAGTAAGGCATTGCATCCAACCAACTAAATGTGTGCAGCACAGAATCACAGTGGTTTACTTTGCAACATGAACGGCACATTTCTGATGTTTATCTTGCACTTTGTCACAATGAAAGATAAAATTATTGCCGCTGTGATAACTTCTCATCTCAAGCCATTTCATGGATCTGTTACTCAAACCAGCCTTCCTGGATCTTATTTTATTGTCTCACCGCTACCTGAAACAACAAGCCCCTTACCATGTTTCATCACAGGGCTGTTTTCAGTAAGAAAGTCTAGGTTAAACCTCCTGTCTCCTGCTCCTGCAACACATTTTCTGTCTGTCTTCATTGCAACAGAAATGAAATGCCCTGAAAGTCTTTTTAAGTGAGTTTAATGATTATCTTTGAGTGTTTGTTGTTACAACAGAGCAGAAACAAGTCTAAGCAGAAACACTAAAATTAGTTTGAATGCATCTTTGAACACGTATTAGGGAGCATTCAGGATCACAGTTCCATTTTTGGTGACTTCTAACACACATTGATTAGTGCATAAAATCACTTTTACCTCCCATCATGTAGTATAAGCAGTTCCTGTGCTTGAAGAGCCAAATACTTATATAGCAGTCACTAGTCTAGTCTTCTGCATTCAGCTCCTGTCAGCTGTGTTTTGCTGCAACTCTTCGCAGCTTTCACAAACCTCCCAAATGACCTTGAACTTCAGCAGTGCACCTCAACCCCACACACCCGTCTGCCTAATGCTATTATGCTGGGCCCTACATGCTAAAAGTCATTGGTGGTGATAGTGGCTGATTAGATTGTGTCCATTGATCGCGCGGCGTGCTGTTAGGACGAGGACGGTGTGGGCTGCAGCTCCTGCCTCTCCTCCTCAGACGCACTGACAGTCTGAGACAGAGGAGATGGAGCCCCATGCCGGGCAGCAGATTGAGTTATTGATCAGCTCTCTCCTTTCTCCTGTCTCTCTCTCTGCTGCTCCTAGAGACCCCGTCATCAGGATAATGAATTTCACTTATTGCAGATTAACGGCATAAGGTCTGTATGGTAATAATGGCAGAAATTAGCTCTTTGTCACCCCCTCTGGATTTCGAAGAGGAGGGGTTGGGGAGAATGAAGGTTGTTACGGCCCTGTTACTCAGTCTGAGGGCTGTGATTTTAACAAGAGGAAACTGAAAGGGAGAGTGCGTGAAAATAAAAGATTTGAGGGAGAATTAAGGCGAGACTTATGAGGACTGTGATTTCAACATAACTGAAGTGGTGAAGGAGAGTTCTGATGCAAGAAATTCTGGTTTGATGGAGGAGAGTGAAGGAGAATTTAAAGAGGAAAAGAATTCTGAATAGCTGGCTGCCCTGTGAAAAAGAGAGAGCAAAGAGGAAAGATGAGAGCGGATGATTCAAAAGAGACGGAAAGTGACGGCGAAAAGGGGGCAGTAAAGTGGAGGGGATCGAGTAAGACAGGCAGTGGTCATACAGTCACTAGGCAGCGACGCCGCTTAAGGGTCGACCATTGTGTCTCCAGCACCCAGACTGGGGAGGTAAAGAATGAATAATGAGGCTTGATTACAGTCCATGAGATGTCACATTGTTCAGAATCAATCCTCCAGGCAATTACAGGCAGTACAAACAGCAGCCCTCAACCCGGACAGAGCAGGAAGCGTTTGTGTCAGAGGACAACATCATCTTCGTCAATGACTTGTTGCCTCCTCATCTCGGAGCCATTAGCACTTACTCCTGCAGCACATTCAGCCACCCACATGAAAAGCCTCCAGTTTACGTGTGTGAGGATATAGGGTATAAAAATGCTGCTCATGTACACAAACACATGTATAATAGACAGCATGTTCTCTTCTTGTTTCAGGTATGGCTTCGGATTGTTAGATGCAGGGCTGATGGTGCAGCAGGCTGTATACTTCACCAGTGTTGCTCCACAGAGGAAGTGCACGCAAGAAGTCACACTCGATCATACCAGGTTAAAAGAGGCTCTTTTTAAAGCTTTATCGACCACCTACTGTACGTTTATGTGACTCCCATAGCTGCTTTTCTTCTTTTTTTATTGCTTTCACTCACTTTTGTTGCTTATATTCAGATTTATGTCTCAAATTCTGCTTTAAAGGTATTCCTTGTTGTATCACATTATTCTACCTGCTTCAACAAAACGGCTTCCCCGCAGGAATCAATAATCCTTCATCTTATCTTCATCTGTACTGTCACTGCTTTGTGTGTGTCTGTATATTTGTAGGAGAGGATGTATGTGTATGAGTGTCTATTAAGCATACAAGAAAAAGGTTTGGCTACTGACTGACATAATGATCTTTAATTGGTTAGGGTCCTTTCTCCAGGAGGCCTGGTCAGCGTGAACATCCAATCAGAGGCCTGCCATGGGAGGTCCAACGAGATCAACACTCTAGAGCATGTTCAGGTCAGGCTGAAGTTTTGAAATACACTTAGATGGCATGTTCATTTGCTGCCTAATATATCCCACCCACTGACAGGAGCCATGATAACCACATAATCAGTGTTATTCACTTCACCTGTCAGTGCTCACAATGTTATGGCTGATTGGTGTAAAAATATAGGGAAAAAAGTTCTACTTAAGGAAGATTTTGACTTTTTGTGGAAATATGCTTATTTGTGTTGTTGCTGAGAGTCACATGAGGAGACCACTTTTTTCTTTGTCCATTAAATATAGTGTATAGCTATAGCCTGAAATTGGTTATCTTAGCTTAGCATTAAGACTACAAACAGGGGGATGCTAGCCTGGCTCTCTCCAAAGGTGCCAAAATCTACCTGCCAGCACCTCTAGAGTGAAAAAAAATGTAACATATGGTTGCCAGGCAACCAGCAAAGACTCCAGGAAGTCACTGCTCCCAGCCAAGAAATACTGCAGTCCCACACACAACCCCCTGTGAAACCACAGCTTGTCCTGATTGTGATTTTACTTGGTTTCCAGTCTTTATGCTAAGCTGTAACTGGCTGTAGTTTTCAAATTTAACAGACAGATATGAGAAAGGCACTGATGTTCTCATCTTACTCTAGGCAAAAAAGCAAATAAGAGTAGGCCTATTTCCTAAAATGTTAAACTATTCCTTTAAAACATAGAAAGGCAAAAAAATCAGTTTTCACTTCCATGTTTCCTGTTGCCTGTGACATTATACAAATCGAGCAGAAGTGTATGGAAAACTTAACTTCTGCCCGCAACCAGGGAAGCTTGAACATTTCACACAAATTGTTTTCAGGGTTTCTGTGTCATGTGTTCTAACTGAGAATAGAAAAGATAAAAAGGCTCATACTGTGATGTGTAATGTGTTGGCTGTGTCATTTGCAGAAAATGGCAAAACTGTGTTTTTCGTGAGTACAGGCATATACCTGCAAATGTGTTTACGTTTGACTGTGTCAGCAGGCATACATACTGTACCTGTCTGTGTACGTGCATGTTTGAGTTTGTGCACATTTGAGTTTGTGCGACTTCTGTGTTTGTGAGTGTGTTAGTGTGTGTGTACTTGTGAAATAGCAAGGAGAGAGAGAGAGAGAGAGAGAGAGAGAGCGAGAGCGGGAGTGTGTCAGCATGTAAATTGAAAAGGCTTCATCTTTGCGGCTCTGCTCCCTGGCAGAAAGCGTGGGTCAGGCCATCGCTGCGAGGTGTGATTGATGGACGTGTTGCCGTGGTAACACGCTGTAAACAGGAGCGGGCTGTCAGTCTTTTTGCAGCTTGGCGGCTCTCTCTGCGATGTGCCATTGTCACACCAGATGTGCTGCTTGTGATGAACAGGGACAGGGAGAGTGTTTACTGGGTGGGAATCAGGGGGATGGGGGTTTGGGGGGTAAATGTGCTTTAAATCATTTAGCTAATATTCCCCTCAGCCATTTTTGTATTGTCTTGCTCTGCTCCTTAGTTTTCTTTGTCTTCATCTTTAGGTGGCTATGTCCATCTGTCTGGCACACACAATATCTGATTTGGATTAAAACTTGGGGAAAATGTTAACACTGCCTGGCAATATTTCTGCCTGGAAATATGCATATTTGCATTCTTATTCAGGGGGAACAGCGAACCTGGCTCTGATCAAAATCCGCCTACCAGCCCCAAAGTGTCACGCATTAAAATGTTACATCATTTTTATTTAAACTGTGTAGTATTATGGGAGTGCGTGTACAGGACTATTTCTTGGTCGGGCACAGTAACTTTTCGGACTATTGTCAAGCAACCAGTGGAAACTCAAAGTCACTGAAAGGAGAAATTGTTTTTGGTTGGTCTTTATGCTAAGGTAAGCTAACTGGCTTCTGGCTCTAAGTGGTATCGATTTTCTCATAGTCTACAACTCTTTGCAAGAAAGCAAATATGTGTATTTCCCCAAATACACAAAAGTATGCTTTTAAGGTAAAAGTTGAAGTTAACAATCAGTTAAGTATGTTAAAAAATAAAGACCAGTAGTTCTGTCACACTCAGTAAGCAGCCACAGGGTTTCATACAGTGATGCTGATGAGAAGGCCTGGAAGACAAGGCATGTTTTTCCTATTTTTTTCTTATCCCTCCATCAGTCTCCTTCACACCTCCCTTGTCTTTTGTTTCCTGCCACCTGTTTCTCAACAGGTGAGAGTAAGCATCAGCACCGTGTGTCGTGGTGACCTCTCTATAAGCCTGGCGTCTCCAGCCGGCACTGTATCACTGCTGTTGGACACACGACCCAATGACGCCTCCACTGCAGGCCTGAAAAACTGGACCCTGATGACGGTGCACTGCTGGGGGGAGCAGCCACGAGGCCTGTGGACCCTACAGGTGAGAGACAAAATGAAATGTCATCATGAGCTGCCATCAGTTGCCTAGCTACACTTAAGCTGCACTGTTTAGTGCTAATTGGCAAAAAAATGTTAACAGTAGCATGCTTAGCTAAGATGGTGAGTATGATAAAAAAAATTATACCTGTTATATATCACCATGTTAGCTTTGTCATTGTTAGCATGTTAGCATTTAGCCTAAAACATTTCTGCTTTTGAATATTCACTATTACCCTTTTTGGTGATTCTGAGCTCAACAAAAGGTAGAAAGTACTCTAAAAGCGTTTCATTCAGCTGTGTTATATGTATGTATATCAGTGAAGATGGCCTCCAAGATTGTAAACTTTATTAGCATCTCTCAATCCTTTGACATAACTTGTGATCTTGTGAAGAATTCATAGTTTTGTCTGTACAAGTCTGCATCCCTCAAGTGATAACTGTACCAAAAAAAATCTTGGCAAAGCTTATATACAAATTTTTACATACTTTCCTGGAAACCCTAATTCACATACCTTCTTTCATGATATAGAAATGATTTGCTCTGCTTCACATTGTCCTCTTCCAGTAGCAGCGGTGTATAGAAGTTTAAAAATAGCCCAGCACAGCACAGCACAGCTCAGCTCAGCTTGGTTCAGTTCATTTTGCCATAGCAATGTGAATCATCCTCTACTTTCATCTCCGAGTTTCAGCCAAGCATGGCAATCTTCATTTTCCTTCCCGCGCTCTTTTTTCCTTTTTTTCCCCATTTTTTTCCTCTCATAGATGTGCTGATGTTTGATATGGAGGAAGGAGCTAAAATGGAAGGGAAATTAAGACTGGAAGGTTAAGTAACCTTGGCCAGGTTTGACAGACACAATACTGCCAACGTCTGATTAGAATCCATACTCACAGACAGTAGCGCGCTGAGGTCATTTACTGTATATACGTGTGGGTGGTAGAAGTAGAGGTGGGGGGGACTCACTGTGTATATGTGTGTGTGTGTGTGTGTGCAAATAGGCATCAGTCCTTGTAAACAGTTGGAGGTTTATAGAGAAAAAGCTGTGAAGATGAAAGACACCCACCCCCTGTCCTCTATCACATACCTCTTCCTACAAACACACACATACACACACTGTCTCTCTCTATCTCTCCGTCTCTGTGTCTCTCCCACGTCCTCGTGCAGATTTACTGTCCCCTCTGTGACCAATTACCAAGGCCCAGTGTGTCGCAGAGACGGGGAGGAAACACCGTGAAGCAGAGCCACATAACGACGGTGCTGCTCATTACCGGAGGGCCGAGACGAGTCACCGCGATGCTCGCAACACGAATTAACGCTTGCATCTTACGTGCCGCATGCCTTAGCACACGGCTAATCAGCACATACACACACACTGACACACACACACACACACACACTGATTGGTTTTACGCTGGTTGCCAATTTTACCGCAAATTGGAGAGAAACATGAACACACACAATCAGAAATACAGAGCTGAGAATAAGACGGCGTGTGACAGCGCTTGAAGTCAACGCAAGGAGGGACACACATACCTATAAAGGAATTTGCAACAATGTGCCATATGCCCTAGCTGGCTTTTTAATTATATATATTAAAATCTCTCTCTTTCTAAACTGTTGACACTGATGATTAAATATCATGGCTCACCCAAAGTTTAAGTCTACTAATTGTCCCAGTAAAAGAAAGTACTGTGGACTATTTTAGTCACTGGTACAAGAACAGTTATTTGACATATCATGGTTCCTGACACAAAATCTCTTTACATTTACATTTGATGGTTTGTGACATGCTTCTGTGTGGCTGTAAAAATAAAAATTGCCTCTGACAAGCAGCCATGCCAGTTAAACCTTGAAATGATGCGAATAGAGAAACAGAGGCGGGGACGTGAGCGAGACAGAGGACATACAGGACTAATAGAAAAGACAGGAGGAGGGATGATAGAGAGTGAAGGGTAAACTTATAAAATGGAGGCCCTGGGAAGAGACTTTAACTGGACTATCTGCCGGATCAGTGTTTAAAAACTCAAGGGCGGCACAGGGGGAGGTGTTTGTGGAGAGTCTATATTGATTCGTCATGATGACAACTGTCAAAGAGCACTGTGGTGCTCCTGGGATAAAAGCAGGACTGAAGTGAAAAGGGAGCAAGTCTTATGGCTCGGGGCTCGGCTGACCTTCCAGTGCTGTGAAGGAGACGAGACCGCAGGGCTGGAAAAATACACACTCTATCTCTCTCTCTCTCTCCTCTCTCTCCCTCTCCCTCTGTCCCTCTTCTTGTATGTGCTTTCCCCTGTGCTCGCTCTACCTCCATCTGTGGTGCTTTTACTGTTTATCACAGACAATATTGCAAGCACAATATGGAATATGTGTATTCTAGAAAGGCAAGAGCAGCAATGTACAGACGTGATTTAAACCACATTATTAACTACATGATTGAAAACAATAATACACAATCATTAATATCTATAAACATTAAGGATAGACCATAAGCAGAAAAATGAGATGTTATTTCGACCCTGTGTGCCCTTGATCTTTCTCCATCCTCTCTTACACACACACACACTCAGTGTCTCTCTCTCATCTTCTCTTTAAAGCATTTCTGTCTACATAGTAAAATATGACAGTTAAGCCATTAGTATACCAAATCTCCCAAATACAAAAAGACACATTTCCTCACTTAACTTCCAATTGTATCTATTCCAGCAGATAGTTTTGATTTTATGTGCCCAGGTTTTAAGAGTTTTCTGAGATCTCTGTCTCCACCCCAATACAGTAGAGGTAAATGGAGTGTTGTCTGCGGTGCTAACAGCATCGAACAGTTACCTTCAAGAAATTCAGCAGCAACGTCTCTTTCCAGAATCAGTGACCCTGCTATTTTGGCTAATCCACAGAACACTGAAGTTTTTAGCTGAATTACTTTCTGTCAAAAACTAAACTTCCTGGGAAAAAAAGTTGTGTATGTAATATTTCACTACTGTGAGTACCAAAAACTAAATTTCAATAACCTCCATTGTGTTGTGGGGGCAAAAATCTCAGAGACCGATACCTCAAACCCACCAGATAGAGGAAGTCTTTATTTTTAATTTGGGTGAACCGACCCTTTAA